AATTAGAGGACCACTTCGGACATGCCTTGAGAAAATCCCCTTTAATGATGCGTCCTGAAGGTGTGAGGAACTTTTGAAAAACTACAACCTGGGTGATGTAGAAGCCAAATAGCTAATGATACTTCTAGCATGTGAAATATCATGAATATCACATGTGTGGATTTCTTTATTGCCATAAGGGGGGGTTACCAATGGTTGCATCATGTATTTGGATAATGCATGCTGGGTATTGTTGTGACAAAAATATTGATGGATGACAACACTAAAAGGATATAAGATCATGAATTCTGTCAAAACAATGAGGCCAAGGGATGCGATCCCACACTACTGAATGATGCATGACATGACAAGTTTTAGGTTTAAATTGCCTTGTGAATAGACTTGTACTGTCCAGTACATGTGGCTGCATATTTTGTATTGGTCCTAAGAATAAAAAGGCATCTTGGTTTAAAAATGTGAGCTGATGCTCTCACATCTCAGAGTCATCTTATTTGTGGAACAGCCAATCAAAGGTTAATACTATGGGTAGTAATCAATGTGACAGCCACAGTAGGGTTAGCACCTCCAGTTCACTAGGCCATTTTGTCATTAGAAAGCCAAAATGTGTCTTTTGTTCCCTCTGGCTAGCCCAGTAGGAAAGAGGTAAGTGGGAGCTGCTAAACTTTAGCTTCAGAGCTCTAAGTTTGGAGATGAGTTTCCATGTTCATCGCTGGGGAACGTGTTGCCTTCGGCAGCTTGGAAGTTGAAAGAGATCCACATGGACGCTTTGCCAACGGACATCCATTGGCCCTTGATCTGTGGCTAGGAACAGGCCCATACAGTCACTACACTGGGACCGAATGAACATGGTGCTCTGTCAGGGTCTTGCTGAGACCACTGTAACCAGAGACTATCAACCAGTATTCACAAAAGTGTTACTGGAAAATGCATGTACAATATCTGTATTATTAATGCTTTTTATAAAAAGAGCATGCTGCAATTTTTCATTCGTAGACTGAAATTCTGTTGAATTTGTGGATCTTAAACTTTAAATTCATTGTGAGTGTAAGTTTTATTACTTAGCATTATTACTAGTGTTATTATTTAGCAGCTATTTGGAAATCAATACAAAGTGGCTGAGTGAAGAATGGAAGTCTGGACCCACCAGAGGCTCCTTGCCATTTAAGGGGTTAATTATGTATTACATGATTGCTTGGGCTGTTTAACGATTGAAATATTTAATTGTGATTAATCACAGAATTTTGTGTAGTTTGTTCCGATAAATCATATTTGTTTTATTCATGCATGTTTGACCCTAAAGAAAGATTTGTAATTATATGAGGGGGCAAAATAAGTTCCACTGGATTGTATTTACCAGCGTACTTTCAATATTTCTGTAATTCACATTATTTGTTTGGGTGGTTTTTTCCTACTTCTTTACGCAGGGTTACATGCTTCCATTAAACCAACAACTTTAATGAAGTTCAGGTAGAGCTTATACAGCTTACCCAAATGTTTGAGCTTGCAGGAAAAACAACAAAGAAAAGTGAGTTCGTTCAAATAAGAAGGGATGTAGGAATAAACTTATGGAGGGAAAGTACCATTGTGTCAACATTTCACCACTACTGACCAACGTTAGACTGACGCTTAAGGCAGTTTGCACTTTAAAGTTGATGCTCTTCCCAGATGCTTTCAGTGGAACAGTTTTTATGCTCCCTCCTCAAAAGAGAACAAGTGCTCATCGGAGAGTAGATGTTCACTCACTGGAGCTGGTGGTGGTGGAAAATGTCTACAGTGCCTCTACACTGACCTCGACAATGTGGCATGCCCCCGTGCCAGTATGTGTGCATATTCATGTTAGCGAGCTGTATCAACATCTTCAGCTAACATCTAGCTTTTTGGTTATAGTTATTTTCACATATCCATTGTTTTATTACTTTGTAAATGTTGCGGATGTTATTGTACTCTGATAGCTGTGAAGGAATTACATGAAGAATTTATATCTTTTGTTCATCTTGGACTCTCGTGTAATAATCTTTATTTCTAGAGCACTTTTCATTCCGGTGGTTACTCAAAGTGCTTTACAGATGGGTGATAATAATAGTAATAGACAAGACAATGCCAGATCAAGGTAATAGGAAATATCACTGCCATGTGTTTAGTGTTCTCCAACAATTCTGGACGCATCCTCAAATTCTAGTCTTGGTAACTATGGCTTTTGAGGCCATTTAAAAGCTGTATTTGAACAAGAGGGCTGCAATTACAGATTGTACTTTAAGGCTCAATATAGGAAATTGAAATGCTTAAAAAATTAATGCTGTTAATTTAGTGCATTAATGCATTATATATAATTATTACCACAATTTGTCACCACTAGTAATAACGTTTAAATAGCATAGTGAAATAACAATGATTACTCTAGACTCCTTGGGTCTTCAGCTTAGCATTTGCTCATGACTAATACTTAGAATATTACTTTTTAAGTCATGAACATGAGAAATTAAAACACAGGTCCCTTAAGATTTAGGGGTGCATTTGTAGAAAGCATTAAAATGTAATTATACTGTAATACACAATACATTTAGTAGTGATATCCTAGTCGGACAGTCACACTGCCATTGCAAATGGCCCACGGTCATTAGAAGCTGGCAGCCCAGTGCTGCATGCTTAATGAGATGACCTCATAAACATGATGGCTTTATGGTCCGAGGCATGTTCTTTCAACCAGTATCACCCCTCATTGCCAAAAAGAGAGCCATAATGTGCGACCAACAGGCTTCTATTGAACTGAAAGGTGAACGACAACTGAAAAAGCGGCAGCTTGTTGCGCTTGTTGTTAAATCAACAGCTACAAGTTAAAGCTGCAGTTCAGTGAAACAGAAGAGCAAAATGCTCAGCCGAGTGCCTGACAAACGACAGGCGCACAAAGCTAATAGTTTAATCCATACATGTGTTACAGACAGATGACAGCGACTGATGCAGGTTTCTCAATCGCCTCCTCCATCTTAAGCAGAAGAAACACTTCCTCACTCCCCCGGCATGCCATTTGCACGTCAGAGCTGCACAATCAGCTGTCAAGGCCCTGAATTGGAGGTTTTAGCTTTTCAGATCGTTTCTAAAATGTGAGGCATGCGTGATACGCATTGCCCATGTGCCTCCGCTGCCTCAGCAGAGGAATGTCGACAAACATACAAACATCCACCCGGTGAATGCTGACGAGAGCGATGCAGACAGTGTGAGAGAGAGAAAGATACAGGGGAGGGAAGAAGACAGAGAAAGGGAGAGATGCAGAGTTAGTAATCAGCCCAAAGGCAAAGACTATCATAATGCCATAAGAAAGACATTTTTTTTCCTTTGCTGAGAGACAGGTCTTTTCTCAAGAAATGCTCTTGCTTTTACTGACAGCAAAAACAACGTGGCAGCGAAATACAGATGAGCAGGGAACTTGTCAACGGATCATAATCAATCACAAGGTACAGCGGAAAAGCAGAAAAACACGGCACGTCCACCCAGGGACAGGTAGAGCTGAACAAATGATCCCACTTCTGCCAGCGTCACAGAAATGCATGGCTGATTAAACCTCTGGGGAAAAAGAATTCCACGGCTTTCAGAACGAGAAGCAGCTAAAATCACTCAGAAGAAGACGAGGTGTTTCTCAAAACAGCGCAATCTTTCATAAGGGTGATAATGCAACCACACTTTGTTCTGGGTGGGGATAAAAAACAAGGTATGTTTGTATATAGGATAAATTGGATACGTCTACCTCTGACGCACTCATTATTTAAGCCTTTCTGATGAGGATAAAAGTACTGTCAAAGCCAAGCTCGTAACACCACAGCCTTTACACCGCATGATATTCAAATAGTCTTAACCGAGAACAAAAGCTACGCTAACTCCTATACACAATAAGGGTTGCAGCCACTGCATAAAATGGCTTGGAAGAGTGCCTTAGCTTCCTGCTGCTTCAGCTCTAGTGAAAGGACGCGTTTCCAAAGAGCATCTTTCTTTTGTATGCTCGCTTCCTCTTTTGTGCATCCATACAACTCCTCCATCAACGAGCTTCAGCTGCTGAATGCTGCAAATCAGCTACACATTTCTAAGGCCCTCAGATACGCTCTTCTACTCTGGCCTGTGCTAGTGTCAAGAGCTCACAGGCAGTGTTTTCAGTGCTCTTGACTGGTCAAGGTATCATTCACCTTTATTGCTAACTGACACTGAATGTTCAACTGCAATCCAAATCCTAACTACAACTCCATCTTCAATTCCAAGTTCAACTCAATCTCCAATTTTAACTCCAACACTGACCCCAACCAAAAGTTTCAACTCCCCACTCCCCTATCAACTTCAGCTCCATCCCAACTCCAACAACTTTATCCCTCTTAATCACCATTCTCCACCCTGAATGAGAAATGAGCTTTTTAGACTCCCAAGCTCTTTCTCAGACAGTCAGTGTCTCAATCAGTCCCTTAAAATACAACTCTTTCCTGCACTGCAGGCATGTCCACTACCTTATGCTTTTGGTCATTTGTTCACAAACCTGGTCCTGAGGACCCTCTACCCTGCATAATTTGGTGTTTCCCTGCTGTAATGCATCTGATGCATCTAATCAGCTAGCTAACAAGCCAGGGGTTCACCAAGACCAGTAATGGAAGCCCCTGGTCTGGAGCAGCAATATGTCCTGTGTTTCTTCTGTGAGAGATTTAGGGAGATATACAAATTACAGAGCACCTTACCCAAAATAACCATTCCCTCCATTCCATAGGTCTACGGTTTTCAACTCCAGTCCTGGGTACTCACTGCAGTTTCAACTATTCCCTGCCACAACACACCTGATTGCCAAGCTTTTCATGATAAGATCAGGTATGTCTCAGGTCAGGTACGTTTGAGACAGAGAATACCTGGAACTGTGCAAGGCAGTGGGATCCCAGGACTGGATATGAAAACTACTGCCCTAGACAAAAGCCAGACACACCGGTGCAACTTACACCCCAAACACGAGGAAGCTCAATCCAAGGAGTTACCTGTAGCAGGGTCGACTGTGCGCTCAATCAAGTGGTCATCCTGGTGGACCCACTCTCCGTTGCACTTGAAGTAAATCTGCGTAGCAGGCGTTGAGCGGCAGGTGAGAGTGACTGGCTTGTTCTTCACGATGTAAACATCATCGGGCTCCACCAGGAAGTGGGGGAGCAGGTCCGAGAAGGCTGCAGGGAGTGGATGTGTCACCGTGGCAGCATGTTCTCCATCTGTGATGGAAAGAGAAAGACATTTTTGAAATGGGTGATGCAATTTTGGATGGCAGGGCCATAGAATGTGAAATGCCCATCGCGGGTAGGGGTAATGAGGAAGGATAATGAGACAATCTAATTTGATACTCCAGAAACCCCATGGCTGGGCAGATTGAGTTTGACACACGCAGAAGCTTGTGATGAATGATACTGTACGATCGTGTTTGACGAGAAAGGACAGCCTGCTAACCACAGATGATGAAATAAAGCCAGAGCAACACAGGGAGAGGTCTGTTCACTGAGGGTTTTTTAAGAAGCGCCTTCATAAGGCATTGCTGTGTGTGGCATGGGCTTGTGTTTCTTGATGAGCTCGGCGAGTGTTTAGGAGTATTTCGATCCCCCTGTCCACCGTGCTCTATGCCGACAAATGGGAGATACACACACACACACACACACACACAAAGAAAGCAAGAGAGAAAGAGTCCTCCCTTGTTAACAGGCAGAGTAAAAGGCTTGTGAGTAGTATGGCCTTGTCAGGCTTTGCCTGAAGCAGTTCTGGAGCCCATCTCTGCTCTCTCTCCGTTGTTAATCACAGGCTTTTAAGATCAGAGCTGATGGACCGCAGGCCATAAATCCCCCTCACTCAATGACCACAGCACTTCAAAAAACACACTCGCTGGGCCGCGATTCCGCAGCTTTAACTCAGCTCTCATTACGGCCCGGCTGAACAGACATATAACTGCCAGCATGTCTCTGACTGACAGCTGGTGTCACAAACAGCCTGCATTACGAACGAAATCACAAGGCTCTTTATTTGATCCGGTCTTGATAGCGTAATGGTGGTTTGATAGTGGTGTGGTGTAAAAGGCTACCCTCTATGGGATCTGAAACTGTGGCTCCTGGTGGGGGGTGGTGATGGTAGAATTGCACTCACTGCTTATACACAATCCACAAAAGGAGCAGGGAAGACTCTAAAGTCATCAGAGGCAACCAACGAGAAATAATCATTAGGCGGTGCTTTGGCCCCTGCAATGTGCAAGAGAGTGATTCTTCTGTGCACAGCAGAGACAAACAGCACCCTATCAGTAATTCTGTTGCTTCATTTGTTAGGCGTAATGTTTTGCCGGTCCTTGTAATTAAGAATGAATTGCTAATTTATCCTTTTCCACCCACATTCCAGAACAATCAGACATCCGTCTTTACTTTCTTTTCACTCCGGAGGTCTGTGCATTCAGCCTGCACTGCTTCGCCCATACAACACTCCAAAACAACTAACCTTAAATGGCCCTCAGGAAGCAAACTCAAAATAGGTAACAAAGCTGAAATCCATTTCAAAGGGGGCTATCGATTATGGAGCCTCGTTTTGCCACTTCACATTTACCCTGCTCCGTGTTTACTGCAAAAGAGGAGGAAAATAGATCAGCCTTCAGAAACTTCTTGAGTGTGGCCATGACATTCTGACTGCTTTCAAAGTGAAAAGGACGTCACTAGCACAAGCAAAACATCATAAATTCTCATGTAAGCCCTCATACAACAGCACTTCATGTTTGGATAGAGGAGTTTGAACCAAACGTTCTGCCTCGACCTCAAAACATTTTAGTGGAATGTAGCCCAGTGCTAATTTACTACCGAGAATCCAATATGGCTAACAGGCATTTTTGCTAGTAGCATTCTCCATCATAGCTTATGGCCCCAGGGCAAATAGAGTGCATCTCTCCTAATGAAAGAACTTGGTTAGTGCTGACCTTTTAGCGCACCGTATCACCCTAGCGGGCTGCGCCCAGGTCAGTAACATGATATTAGCCCATGTGATAAACAGCCACATCTCGGGTGCTAAAGGCATTAGGCAGCTCCGGCGCAACACACGTCATATTAATGCCTTTCTTCCCATTTCCTTTCGTCATCCCGGGTGGTGTGCTGAGTTGCTAATTCATCAGATTGAAATGCGGCAAGGAAGCTGAGCTGCGGCTATTGAACCCCCGCTAATGTATCTTGTACGTGTTTAACTCTTAATGAAAACTAAATGTTCTGTGTCCAATGAAAGGCATACATCACTTACTACTTTCTGTCTCATTTTCCTGCAATGCCCCACCCCCCATACACATACTTTGGTGCAAAAGGACAAAAGGAATTCATCCCAAGCAGCTCTTTCCAGCATTCCAAGGAAAGCGCTGTACAAATCTATAGAAACATTAACTCACTCCTCCTACATCAGGAAGAAGAACGCATTTCCACTACAAGAGGGTTAAGAAAAGTACAATTAAAATGTCCACCGCATCTCAAAATGGCTTTCATTAACCTAAAGCTGAGCTCTCGCTGGATGTGGTCTACTTAATGAGTCTTAATTTGGTGCCATGATGATTGCCATTAGCTCTCCAGGGTGACCTTTTCTATTGCCACAAGATTGGAGAAGACAGCTCCGTAAACCTATGGGCAGAACTACAGCCTCCCCTGTGGGTGAAGGCATTCGCAACATGGCGCTGCGTGCAGATGCACAGCCAAGTTTCTCAACGTCTTACAGGGCTTTGCCTTTCCTGGCTCCGGGAGGAGAGCCTTGCATCTGCAAACAACAAAAGACACATTTTCAGCAGAGCTTCAAAACAAGCAAACAGTGAACACCCACTATGGTATTTTGCACTGCTTTCACCATAAGCACCTCTAAACTCCATCATGCTTGAAGTTATGGCAGAGAATATATGAAGAGAAGGAACCTCAGAGGCAAAAAATGGTTAATTTTGTCTTTTATTTTACTTTTCTGATTAAAAAGGAATTTCTTTTCAAAGTGTCTGCATAAATAAATGGTAAAGTAATTCAGAGGGCTGTTCAGTCAGAACTGTTTCTACTGTTGCAGTGGTGATGGGAACCAGACGTCTATTACATGAAATGGTTACATATACATTGCTTGACGACAATGTTTTACAATAATTTTATTAGATATTATTTTGGTCTAAAACCAATATTTTTCAAAAATCAATTCAAAATGGAGATTTTTCACTATTTTAATATCATCAACATTACAAATAAAAACTCTAAAGACATGAGTGGGTTCTCTGATTGTTTTGGATCATGAATAAAATGGCTATATTTGCACTGCAGGCATTGCGACCTCTGGTTCCTTTCAACACTACTGCAAAGAAATCAAAGTTGGTACGTTTTTTTTTTTTTTCCATGTATTATTTTATGTCAAACCACTATGAAGGACTTTGTGTACATCTCAGTGATTGAATTATGCAACAATTTTAAAAATGGGAAAGTGGATTTCCTCCTAAATGGCTATCATTCCACCAATGTTTAAAACTAACAAAACTGAAAATTCAGACTTTTCTCAATAGCTACTATTTTGACAAATACATGGGAATAAACTTCGCTCATTGGTTTAACGCTAAAATATTAAAAAAATATTAAATCTAAAATATTCTGTTTTGTGTTCAGCTCAACTATAAATGACTTCCCGCTGATTGCCTTTGACACAGTTGATGTGTTACTTCAACAAATGAAAGGCACAGCAACTCCTAAACAAGTGAAAACAACTCCTACAAAGCATGTGCTAATAAATTTAAAACAGTACTATATAAGGTTTTTTGTTAAAATTAAAAAAGCCTGAAGTAATAGTTCAAAGGTCAGCGATATCAGGATGGATTTCTGGAGTTTTACAAAACATGTCATATATCTTTATGTACTACCGTTACACACAGACTTAAAAAGAAGGTCCAGCTCAATGCTAAATCAACATGGTACTGATGAACATACGACAACAATAGTAGATAATTCCCTTACATCCTCATAAGAAACATCCTTCACCAAGCTTTTGACTGACTCATTGTATACTCTTTTAACTTGCTCGCAATAATCAGATTCACCTACTTGTGGAGGTCCAAAGCACAACTGACAATACAAAATATTCCTCCACACGTTACGTGCAATTACACATTTCGACCAAATTCCCAGATCTTACACAGTGCTGCTTTAGTTAGTAGTATTTTCTCTTAAAGATCATCGTTTCACAACTCTGGTCTTAGAGCACCCTTGCTCTGCACATTTAAGTGTTTTCCTTGCTCTTGACACACCTAATCCAACTAATTAGCTCATTAACAACACTTACTGAGCTGAGAAGGGTGTATTAAAGCTAGCAAAGAAGTAAAATGTGAAGAGCAGGGGGGCTCTGGACCACAGTTGGGGAACACTAGTCCACACCACTGAAGTCTTTGTCAAAATGCACAGGACGAATTGGTGAATAAGCCAAGAAATGTACTGTTACAGCTCTTGCTTTTACGGAAAAAGAAAAAAGTACGATACAAACTCTGCAGTTATGCAGTGCAAATAGAGAGAGACAACAGTTCTGAGAGAATACAAGACTATAACAGTGGAAAATAAGTCAATGTAATACACGGTTATTGACAAAGAACCAAAAGGAACAAGGCTGCTGAACAAAGAGATGATTATTTAAAGAACAATTGGCAGTCTCACTTCATATTAAGGTTCTCTAACAACTGTGTAATTGCACATTAACGATACATGCCACAACTTTGTAATCACTGGTGATGTATTGACTGTTATGTAAATACAAATGCGTAACATGTGTCAGCTTATGTAATTAAGTGCATCTTGGTAGTTGTAACTGTGTATACACATGTAATAAAAGGATGAGGGTAATTAAATTTGTATAAACTGCAGTTTGTTCAACTTTTCTGCTGGTTTATGGCTTCAAATCATTCTGTAATATGGTTATATTTACACAACAGCAGCACAATTCTGAGTAAAAATGTAAGTTGATACATTCTGTAACAGTGAATACATCACCAGTAGTTACACTGTTGTTGCATGTGTTATTATTGTGTAACAACACAATTATTAGAGGCGCTAATGCTGGGGGCCCGATTGACCATATAAAGATTTGACAAGAAATTTGCAAACTTCCAGATATTTACTGCAAAAAACTATCAAACCAAGGCCTCATGACCTTGTTTTTTAAGGTTATTTCAAAATATTAGCTGTTCTCTACATTGAACATTTCATGATAAATAGACTGAAGCTTTTATTACATTAACAATAACATCCGTATACAGAACATATAATCAGAGAAGCAGGACTGGAGGAAGATGATCAAGGATTCAAGGTTGGTGGGAGAAACATCAATAACTTTAGATATGCAGACGATATATCATTGAAAATCTGGAAGACCTGAAGGTCCTTATAAGGGAGGTTAAACTTCAGCTCAATATGTAGAAGACCAAAGGTTATGACAACAAGGAAGATCACTAACATTACCACTGAAGAAGATGTGGAAATGGTGGACAGCTTTTGCCTACTCAGATCAATTATTAACAACAAAGGATTCAGCATTCAAGAAATATGGCATAGATTGGTACTCGGCAGAACATGGATGAAGAAGCTTTAAAAGACCTTCAAATACAATTGTTTGTCTCTTCAAAAAAGATCAAAACTGGTTAGGTCTTCTTTCCATGCTTAAAAAAATGTTTCTTCAAGGGTTCTTTAGTAAAAATAGTGGTTCTATTTAGAAACCTGAGTTTCATATAGAACCATTTCCTGCTTAAATGGCCCTGTGCATGGTAAAATGGTTAGTCAGAATGATGGACAATGTGCTGTATATGGTTCTATATAGCACCAAAAATTGTTCTTCCATTGTTATGATGTTAAGCTTTTTACAGTAGAAGAACCTTTTTTGGAGCTATTTAGAACCATTTTCAAAAAGGTTCTACATAGACAACATGCAACACATTCTCCATCAATTTAAAGAACCATTTCAACATGCTAAGAGCCATTTAAGCATGAAATGGTTTGATATAGAACTTGTCTTTACTAAAGAACTTTTGAAGAGCCATCTTATTTTTAAAGCCTACTTTTCAAAATGTAGGCATTATTCAGTGGTTGAGATGTAAACAAAGTCATTCAGAGTGGTTTAATTTGAAATTATTCCTTTCCAGAGAAGCTTACTGACTCATTTCTTTACAGTGGTGGTGATGGGAACCAGGGGTCCTGGTGCCTACAACAAAAATATAACCATTTTATTTACTATCCAAAACCACCAGTGAACCTACATGTGTCTTCTGAGTTTTTTATGTAACATTAATGATGGTCAATCTGAAAAAATAAGGACTATTTTGCCTTCATGTATCCTTACACCATGAATGGATTAAAATAAATTGATGAAAAAATATCTTTTAGAGCAAAACATTATCACAAAACTACCATAAAACAATGTTTTAGACATCAGGCAGCATACTCATAACCACTCGTAATACTGTTCTGTGAGGGAGCTCTTAGAGGCAATAAACTCAATAAATTCAGATGTCTGGTTCCTATCACCACCACTGTGAACAACTCTGACTTTCACTACTATAAAGTATTTTACATCAAACCGGTAGTGATGATTATGTTGACATGTTAACACCTTTAAGTGTGTGTGGTTCTTTATGGATACAATGGATGG